TTCCCCTCCCCATGGAGGGTTTTGCTGTGTCCCCCACGGGGAATGTCCCCTTCCCTGAGGTCCCGGCTCCCGTGCCGATCGGGAAGGCATTGCCCCAGCATCGCTCGTGCTGCAGCAGCTCCTGCAGCCCCGGCTGCGATGACATTCACACAGCAAAGCCCTCCAAAGCAGAAAACGCCGCTCCGCACCGGGTTGGCAGCGTGACGTCCTGTACCGGGAGAAATCGCCCGCTCTGCATTTCCAAGGCAGCGTTCCTTTGCAAGCTGAGGCTCTTTGGGAAAAGCCATGGTGTGGATGCCCAGGGCAGTAGGTCCGGGACAGGAGGCCGATGAATTTGGGACGGAGGCATCCCTGCAGAGCATCACAGCTTTCCCTCTGGACCAGCAGCCTCCCCGAGTGTGCCAGCTGGGCTTTCATTTGCAAAAGCAAGCGGACGGTGGGTTGCTTTCAAAGCCTTCCCATCTTTTGGGCAGCACCGTTTCAAAGGTTTCCAAGCGGGGCCATGCACAGGGCAAAGGTTGAGCAGAGGTTTTCCCTGTACACAAGCCGTGTTTGCTCAGCAAAGTGCTGCTGGAAGTGGCACCAGGCTTGGCCGGTGCGCAGAGGACTCCGGCGGGCACGAGGGTGGGGTGTGACCGCATTGAACCGGGATGCCTGGCTCTCACCCGCCCGCTTGAGCCGAACCGCTCAGTCGGCTGCCGGCAGCCTCTGTGCTCTGGGGGGTGACTCTGGGGTTTGGCAGATGACGAGGGTGCTCTCCCGCCCGTGGGAAGCAGATGTCTCGAGAGCCAGCACGTCTGCTGCTTTGTGGTCAGCCGCACCTGCAGTTGTAGGTCTCAACATCGGCGGTGGCAGCTCTTCCAGGCTGCCTTGCCAGGCTGCCCTTCCTCTTCCTGGGCGAGGGGTTAATTAACTTAGTGGGAATAGGGTGACATTGCTTTGTTGCAAGGTCTGATGGACGGCGCCCTTCCTCCCGCGTGGCTCCCCACCCTCTGGGGACACGGCCTTCCAGCACATGCATGTCCGCCCTGCTCAGGGATGCTCCAGCTGATGGGGTTGATGGGGTGCTGGGATGCTCCGGTTGACCCGGCGCGAGGATGCACTGGTTGATGGAGCACAGGAGTGCTCCAGCTGATGTGTGCTGGGGTGCTCCACTTGACCGGGCACTGGGATGCTGTGTTTGATGGGGCACTGGGATGCTCTGGTTGATGAGTACTGGGATGCTCCAGGTGACGGGGCACTGGGATGCTCCATTTGACGGGGGGTGCTGCTGGGTTTCTTCTTCCCTCGCAGTACCTGGGACTCCAGTGCCATCCCCACCTACGAAGAAGCCCTGACCTGCAGACCTGCCCATGGCGCCCCAGCCTACATCCAGCCCCCGGGGAGGAAGGAGGAGCTCACGCCGCCCCTGTACCGCTACTTGGAGGAGGACGA